CTTCGAAAGTCTTCAACAAATGAGGAGCCTTTCTCAACCAATGAAGAACGATTTCGGAGTCTGTCCAAAGAATTGATTGTGTGACTTCAAAGTTCAATTGAGACTTACAGTCTACGTAAAATTTTTTCAAAAGAGTAGCTGCTGCTAATTCTAAACGAGGGATAGTATGAAGATTTGGAGTCACTACCCTAGATTTGCTAGCTACTAATGTTACAGTAGTGTTTCCCACTGAATCGGAACAACGAATATACACGCAAGCGCCGTATCCGCGCAAAGAAGCGTCGCAGAATCCATGTATCTCCGTGGTGACAGGATTCATACAACGTAGATGTCTCGAGATAGCAAACTTTTGGATCTCTGGGAGTTGGTCGGCTAACGCGTTCCATCTCATGTGGACGTCTTGAGGTAATGACTCGTCCCACGAAACCTTAGCTTTCCAACAATCTTGAATAAGATTTTTGGAATAGAAGATCACCGGGCCCAATAAGCCTAGTGGATCGAAGATCTTCGCAACTTCTGACACGAGTTTTCGTTTGGTGGAAACTGATGAAGCATTTCCTGAGTTCACTGTGAATGTGAACACATCGCGATCGGAATCCCACACTACTCCTAGAGTTTTCTTCATTGGACTACCTTGAATGCCGCAGTCCAGATCAAAGATTCTCTTATCAAGATTAGCCAGAGCGGACGGATGATTCGACGCCCATTTGCGGATGATGAACCCTCCACGGCTCAAAAGATCGATCATCTCGTCCCGAATTGCCTGAATGCCTTCTACCGTGTCGGCGCCTGAAAGGAAGTCGTCGACGTAAAAATCTCGGCGAAGATATTCTGCCGCTCGTGGGAAGTTAACTTCTTCGTCGTTCGCAAGCTGAATCAAAGTGCGAATTGCCAAAAAAGGTGCACAAGTAACTCCGAACGTAACTACGTTCAAGACGAACGTACGAACCTTGCCCTTGTGATACCAAAAAATTTTCTGGAATTTTCGATCATCGGAATGAACCCATATTTGGCGATACATTTTTTCAATGTCAGCCGTTATCACGAAAAGGAAGATGCGAAACCATAATAAATGAGACAAGAGAGTCTTCTGAACGGTAGGACCAGTCAGCAAGACGGAATTGAGAGAAAGACCGGTGGATGTTTTTGCTGAAGCATCAAACACGACTCGACATTTGGTTGTTTCGCTGGATTCCTTCAGTACTGCGTGATGAGGCAAGTAGTATCCATCTTCGTCGTCGTCCTCCAGCAACGTCATATGGCCCAGTTCTAGATAACTGGCCATTTCCCTTTCGTATGCGACCTTGAGAGTAGGATTGACAGCAAACTTCTTCTCCAGTGAGTGAAATCGTTGGAGCGCTTGCCTCTTTGATGAACCAAGATCAAATTTGTCTGAGCGGAACGGAAGACGAACTGTGTATCGACCTGAACCATCTCGAGTGGTATTTGCGACATAATGGTCTTCGCAACGTACCTCGTCAGGAGCCTTGGTGGGTTCATAGTCGGGATCCTCTATGTTGATAAACCTTTCCAAAAGTTGATCCAGCCTGGTTACATGACATGAAATCACGCTATGGGATTCTCTTGGACTCGAACCCCCGGCCACAACCCAGCCAAATGCAGTTTTTTGAAGAACTATTTCCGAGTTCTCGTGAGTCAGCCTGATCTGACCCACCGCAAATGCGGAGAGAGTAGGACCCGACGCTAACAAAACGTCGACGGGTCTTGGCATGTGAAACTGTGGATCAGCTAGCTTGATGTTTTTGGGTATTTGGAAATTCGCTCGAGGGAAAGTCACATTAGGCACCCGGTCAGCAATTTTAGGAACAATCAAGAAATTGAATTGGTATTTAGAATTGTTACAAGTTGAATAAAAGGTCGCATAAACAAATTTATTGGCAATAATACCGTATTCATTAACTGCTGCGATATTAATGGAACATTGTTTAGTTTTTAATCCTAGGCGAGTAAGAAAATTTTGAGTCATTAAATTTACATTTGAACAAGAATCTAGAAGGGCTCGGGCCATGCAACTTCCCCTTTGAGCATTTTCAAATTTTAAGACCGTTGTGGTCATGAGTGGAGAATCGATGGAATACGCAATAGACGAGCACACTAAACCTGAATCTAGTCAAATTGATGATTTATCCGAAGGCGCGCTCTTTCCCTTGGCGCCTTTCTTTTTTTCATTGTGGAGTAAGGTGTGATGACTAAGCTGACATTGCTTACACCTTTTAATACTCGTACACGGATGCGCGTACAAACAATTACGGCAAAGCTTGTGAGAGTCAACAAAATTCCATCGTTCGCCAAGCTTGAGACTCTCGAATTGTGGGCATCTATAGAGCCTGTGAGACTGACTACATTTCAGACAAGAGTAACTTGCGGACGCGCCATTAGAAGAGGCGGTCACGAGAGAACGCCCACCTATCTTTTGGGTTTTCGTAGGTATTGATGCCATACTCTCCCCTGACCTCTTTTTTGAAGAACGCGGCAAATTTTGAATTTCGCGCAATTTAAAAATGCAGTCTTGGATGAAATTAAATAGATCATCTAACTTTGGAATGGTATTGCCAGACAGCTTATCCATCCATCGAGTGTAAGCGCTGGACGGTAAAGCGCGTTCGAGAATGCGGATAACCACCTCATCGCAAATGTTTACCTTCATCGCTCGCAGTAAACTAACATGTTGACGAACTGTATACATGACCTCCGCGAGGGTTTCCGGCTTTGCTTCTGAAAGCTTTGAGATATTAAAAAGCTTGTCTAAATGTTCGGAGACGACTGTGCGTCGCTGATCGTATGCTTTGCACAGAGCATCCCAAGCGAGCGGATAATTCGCTTCACTGGCCGCATACTCCTTTATCACGATCGCCGCTAACCCGCCCACAGCGCTCTGAAGTTGAGTGTGTTTAGTGTACGCGTTTATGTCTTCGCGATCGTGAACGAGAGCCATGAAGGCCGCCTTCCAACGAACCCATTCTTCGGGTTGGCCGTCGAATTTGGGGATTTGAATCGTTGGCAATTTTGGGAAGTCGTGTCTTTCGGTAAACGTGATATTCGCGGCGTTCAGAGTGGAACTCGCAACGGGCGCGACTGGTTTCATCCGATAAACCTTGGCTGCAGCCGCGTAATATCTCGTTTCGAGTGAGCTAAAAACATCAACGCGAGGATGATCGGCTTTCAATTGAACCAGCTCCTCGTGATTGTTCGAATAATCGGTGAACGATGATTGGAGCGCCTTCAACCGCGCTTCGGCGATGAAAAGATCTACCTGATCGTCTAACAGGTACGTTTCGAGATTGACGATCGACCGCTCGAAAGCATTGCTTTTTTGTTCGATTCGCGAAATGCGTTTCTCGGATTCGGTCGACATTTTGCACTTCGCGCGTGGTATTTCGTGGCTTATCAAAAATAATTACCAGACCGCGTAGAGATTCGACTTGAATTTTGCCGTAAATAAAAACAAGAGATCCTTTAAAATTTAAGCTAACTCGCAATATAAAGAAAATTGAATTTACCTTAATTTAAAATTTAATTTAATTCGATAATTTATCGCGGATCGCCTGTTAAATTGTAAAGCACGAATGACACTACGTTTTCGAGCATATAAGTAGAGATGGTAGAAATAGGTATATATATATATGCAAAAAAAATTTTTTTTTTTAAAAAGGAGAGGAGATGAAGAACAGACTTATCTTTTTTTTTTATTCCTTTTCGTGGAAGTGAAAACGATGGTCCACTGGGTGCGTGTTCCCCTGGTTTGTGACGATGGCATTGCACGCGGTCTCGCTGCTGTGGCTGCAACGTCTGTTATTTTCAAGGAACTGGCGGGAGGTCGCAAGAGAGAGAAAACGACGAAGCGCGTGCTGCGTAGCAACAAGTCCATACGCGCCGCAATTCCCGCCTCCCGCTCACACACTCCTACACACGCGCACTGCACTCGCGCGACGCCAAATTCCACGAACCCAACACAACAAAGAATTGGCTCTTTTTTTTTTGAAGTTGAGGTAAAGTGTTTTACCTCACAGGAGGCACCATGAAGAATTTACCGAAAGCTCGGCTTTATGCTGAAGGCATAGAAGCCTAGTTAAATAAAGGAAACAAAGAAAAGGGATTGAGGATAGTTGCAATAATTCTACCTTTGTTGGATAATAAATTAGAAACACCTTTTTTTGAGGGAAAAAGCCAGTTACGGCATAAAAAACCCTTTTATTGAAATTTTTACACTGAAAAATTTGATCGCGAATTAGCGCCGCGCGGGAACAATGACGCACGCCCGTATTTGCTCTCCGTTTCCGATTTTACACTTTACACACAAGATAAACACAAATGTAAACGCTACGTGGGAGCGTTATAGATGTAAACGCTACGTGGGAGCGTTTACAACGATTTGATAATCGTAGATGTTACGTAATGATTAATGTTGTTTAATCGATAAATGTTTGCACGTGGGCAATCCGAACGTTTAATTCGGCAAGTCGCGAGGGAGCTCCGTACGCTGTAAGATGTAGTCGACTACTGCCGGGTTGACCGGCGAGCGGAAGCCGCCCAAGATGGAGGTGACGACCCCAGTAGATGCTGCCGCGCGGGCCTTAGCCTCTTTCACACAGACACACACGCATGATTTGCGCGCGCAGGCGCAACAGACGAAATTGTTCGTGTTAATTTATGTTGCGATGCAACACCAGCCTTTGTTTGTTCCAGTCAGCCCAGCCAACTGAAAGCTTGCGCGTGCGCACTGGATTAGGCTGTTATTATATCAGGCATATATTGATTAATTATTTTTTAGGCTTCCGGAAGGGATATTGTAAAAAAATTTATAGAAATCGAAAGAGAAAATTACGAGCATACGATTGCTGTTGCCAGAATCAAAAGTTTTTAGCTTAGATATTAATCAAAAACGTATGGACTATAGCAACCGCGTTATTAATTAATATCTCGGTAACTAATTAAAGAGAAAGATTTTTATAGTGATATTTGTAGAGAGCATTAAAAACTCTCGCAGGTGATAAATTTTTTTTAATTAATTTCTATACTTAGTTGCCAAGTCAGCGGAGCCGTATTTATTTCTGCGCTTCTGGCTTTCATACATACATATTTCACAAATTACTTTATTGTTGATGGATGGTGCACATCTCTTGCATAAATTATTAGGTATTTTGTAAATTATAAAAAAGATAAACGGGTATCCAGTTCACAGAGTTATTGAACCCGACACATTTCTTTTCTTATGACTATATTTTAATATTTAGATGAATAACAGTTTCTATACCATTTGACCATATAATTTATGCGATTTCTAAAATTTGGTGCTATTAAAATCTGTATGTTGACATGATACAATAAAAATGATATTTGAATTTTTTAAAAAATTATTCTGGAAAGCAGATGAAAGATCCAGAAAAAGAAAACATTGTGAATGGCATGACAAAGAAAATGATACATTATCTAAAAAGTCGTGTCAAAATGTACAAAGTGATAAACTGTCAGAAAATGGTAAATTCATAAATACAGCAGTTGATAAAGTTAATATGCAATCCAATTTCAATGATTACTCATCTATTAATTCAAAGAATTATGAAAATAATAACGATAAAAAATCTGAGTTAATTATAAAACATGATCAATGGTCATCTTTATTGACTAATAGAAATAATAATATAAGTAAAGATGATTCCTTGAATAAACATTTTCAATCATCTTATAATCTCACTTTATATAAAGCTTGTCACTTGATAGATCGTCAAAAGTACAGTCGTATGCTCTTAAATTTTGTAAATCCTGATGTAGAAAATTTGCATCAAAATTATACATACAATAATAATTTAAAGAGCATAGACAAATTTAAAGAAGGTACTAAATATGTATTTTTTAATAATAGTTTTGAGCATATACTTAATCTAAGGAAGGAATCAAAAAACAATTCTATATATCTATGTAACCAAGATTCTCCTGAAACTGAGCAAATAAGTTCTACAAATACAAATGACAGATATCAATACAATCATAAATTAGGTGTACACTCTTCGGCAGATTCAAGTATTTATATCAGATCAGAAAATATTTCAACAACCAATACATTAAAAGAACATTTTGCAACAAAAGAAGTTATAAAACAAAATTTTATTACACAATTGAATGAAAAGTACAATAATAGCTTAGAACAACGTAGTAAAGAAGCAGAAGAAATAAAGAAAATGACACATATTTTGGCAAAGCACAATCGTCTAACTAGAGAAGCAACTTTGCAAGACCATCTTAATCGCTCGATGCGATTATGTGAAGTTATTTTTGATGAAGCAGATTCATTGGAGGTTGAGTTGCCGCAACTGGATTCAAGTATGATAAGCAAAATTGAATCAGCGCTTTCATCTGGTCCAGGGAATGAAGTACTTGTTCAAGAATTTGGATTAAGGATCACAAGAAAAGATATTCATACACTAGCGGGTTTAAATTGGTTGAATGATGAAGTTATTAATTTTTACATGAATCTTTTGATAAAAAGAGGTAATTGTGGAAATTATCCCACTGTATATGCTATGAATACCTTTTTTTATCCAAAGCTTCTATCTAGTGGACATATTGCTTTAAAACGGTGGACTAGAAAAATAGATATTTTTTCAAAAGATTTAATCATAGTTCCTATTCATCTTGGAATTCATTGGTGTATGTCCATAATAGATTTCAGAAATAAAACAGTACAATATTATGATAGTATGGGTTCTCCAAATGATAAATGTCTACGAGTTTTAAAACAGTATTTACAAGATGAAAGTATTGATAAGAAGAAAAAATCATTTGAATTTCTAGGATGGAACTTTGAGTGTATTAAAGATATACCAAAACAGATGAATGGCAGTGATTGTGGAGTTTTTTCTTGTATGTTTGCTGAATATGTAAGCGCAAATAAAAAACTTGATTTTACTCAAGAAGATATGCCATATTTTAGAAAAAAAATGATATATGAAATATTGACAGTACAGCTGTTATAAATTATTATGAAAGTCAATAAATATAAATATAAGTATAATTTGGTGATCTAAGTAATATTTTATGTAACTGAAATACCTTAATTTCATGAACAAATTCTTGTTTGCCTAGGTAGACAATATTTCTTAAAAAATAAGTACGATCAGTTGAGTTTCGTAAAATCCAATTTCTTAATTTAAAAAAAAAACAAATTTTATTTTTTTCTCTCATATAAAAAGCTTGCTTCACTTAAAAAGTATAGAAAATTAGTTTTGTAGTTTGTGCTATAGAACATTTTATATTTATGGCCATTTTAAAATAATTTTTTAAGAATATGACTTGTATTTTAACCTTAATTACAACTATGAATTAAAGGAAATTTGTTATAAAAAATTTGTTTATTTATAAAATAGAAAATACATAACAAATGAAATGTCAAGTAAATAAAATATATAATTATAAGTGTAATATTTTTACCATTACCTTTTTGTAATTTGCAATGCAGGGATACTCATTAGTCACTTTTATTTGGCTATTGGTGAACCATAACATTATTACATGTAAATGTAATGAAAATGGAATAAAAATTTATAAAAAAAGTTAAGATGAAATTCATAATTTACCTATTTTGGATCTATTTGTTTTCATTATAATATTTATTGAAGATTTCATGTAGTTTATTCATGTGTAATATACTAATTTGCCAAGCATAAACTAACCACTTTTATGTCAATATTAATTAAGTAATTATTAATTAATATATTTGCAATTAAACATAATATTCAAGACTATCAATTTTTTATTGTGGACTAAATTTTATTTCATCACACAGTAGGAATTATCTATTTAATTTATATATAGAAATGTTTATATATTCTATTATTTGGATCTAGTGGTTTAGTGATTTTCAGAATATTTGTTTAAAATCATGTTGACAAAATATGGTACAAATTAACATGAATTTTCATAAGCTGAACCTGCATATGGCTTTATTTAGAAAATAAATATCTACACTATACAATTCTGCTTCAATGCTGTAATATTTTTATGATTGAAACATGTAGTTTACAAAGTTAGTAAGTGAAACAATAAAGCTCAATCATTAACCATTATTTTGCCTTTTATGGTTGACCAGATATGTCAATCTTATCAGAAACAATAAATGGAAAGTTTTAAAAACTGTTGAAATGAGATTATCAACTGAATTGACAAACTCATTAGGAGATGACAATAAAGTACATCTTAAATAAAATTCAATATTCCATTACTTAGGATCTGTTATTTTATGTGCAAGAAATATTAATTGAAAAATCATTTTGATTTAGAAAATAAATAATCGTAAACATTGATTAATTGATAACAACAGGAAAACCTACTTAAAAAAAAAAAAGAGTATGGTGATTTATTTTTTGTACATTCATGAATAATTATTTTTCTTTACATAAAGGTTATTGATGATTAGTATCAATTAATTAATGTAATATTGAATTGAATATGCTTTTATAATTCATTTATATAGATAATGGATCGGAACATATCAGAACTACCATTTAATAGCAAATTTATTGATAATTAATATAAGTAAATATTACCATAAAATATTACAATACCTAACAACTATTATATTACTTTATTATTTGATCTTACTAGAAAGCAATTCATTGAAATGACAAGGATATACATAATTACTTATTGTATCCTAGAAAACTAGAACTTTTATGCTATAGGAGATCTTATATTTTATCTTATATTTTATCTTATATTTTAAAATTATTGATAGATCAAATTTGTACAGTAAAAATGCATTGCACAAAAATTATTTTGGTTTTATTATCTTAGATAAATTATTTGTTGAATACTTTATATAACATATCAAATGATTTTTAGTATAAAAAATTGGTATACTTTCATGAAAAGATAATTTATTTGATTCATTGCCATGTTTAAATTACATGTATTTTCTTTCATTATTATTATATTCAAATCATAATATTATGAAACATTATTATGAAAATATTTAATCCATTCTTGTCTTAATTGATTTTAGAGTAATTTTATCTTTTTCTCTGAAAGCAAATACAATAGTTAGTTATTATAGATAATAACTATTATACAAGTATAATAGTTATTATAAATTTGAACGAATAGTTTAAAATACTTACATAATATAGACAACAGCACCCCAACCCGATATAGCATCTCTATCGCAAGCATTAACTAGTGCTTGACTAATAGTTTCAAACAAAGCATCTGCTTCTAAATTAGGCGTATATAGAGCTTCACACATGCCATATAATTGTTCCATACAAGTACCACCAACAACAAAATCTTTTGGTAAACTCAAACAACCTATTGAATCCATGTTGCAAATGAATGGTTCATATGTATCTGGATTTAATCCAGCAACTATTGGTTCGACAAAGTATGGCCCAAACCTTCTTTCATATAAAAGATTTGATATCATTGATCCAAAAATTTCAGGATGTATTTTTCTATTTTCTTTTAATTCATAAAGATTTAATCTGAAACGCAGTCTTTCCATAACAGTTTGACTATCAGTTGCAAGTCCAGGCAATCCAAGATATAAATGAGGGCCCATCTCATAAATTTTTTGAAAGTCACAAGATATAGTTTGCCCTTGTACACCAAATCTACAATCAGATGCTATAGCTACACATTTTTTACCTTTCATAGCTATGATAGCTCCACCATTGTATGCCAATATACTCTGCAAGAAATAGAATCAGTTATATTTCTCGATAACATTTCTTGTATCAAAATATCCCATTTAAAGATAACAATTTATAAGATGAATGAACTAATGCAAATGAAAATTGTAAATTAAAAATATTGATTTATTAGTATTCCATAATTATTAGTATATAATTATATTATGTATAATATAATTATTATTTAATAAATTAATATATAATAATTGTAAATATTAGTATTCCATAATTTTCTTTAATTCATTTTCTTTGATGTAAATAAAAATTATTTTCATGTTTTATTATTTAGTTTATTAAGGGTTACTTTAATAAAATAACAAAACTGCACACAACTTTCAACATTAATTTATTAATTTACTTACCATATTTATGTTTATTTTTTCAAGGATAAACGAGCAGTTCAGTTTTACTTTTAAAGCTTTTTTCCACCTATTTATTCTACTGCAAAAACTGCAAAGTTGTAATCAGTTATCAGAGGATAGAGACATCGATTGTGCTGGACGACCGACAACTGGACTGCTGTAGTCACCATCCCTAGATCAGCCCCGGAAAATAGTCAAAATAATTTTTAATAGAGTCGAATTGGCTCGGTTGAGCTATGGTGGTCAAATAATTTGCTCGCATTACATTTTCCAACAAAAAAATATCAAACTATTTTTTTTTGCTCAAACTTTAAATGGTAATATCTTGCCGAAATATCAATATTTGTTCAATTCTAATATCTTAAAAAATTGCTCACTATCACAAGAAATTTGCTCCATTATAATATATTTCTAAAGTACATTATTATTGATATCGTAAGCATATCAATAATAAAGTATGTAATTGATATCGTAAGCAATTCAAACAGCCGTCTTGCGTGTCACGTCGATACGTAACGTATCATATACAGGCGAGCGGGACACCCCCAAAAAGCCGCTTAGAAATAGCAATACGTGACTACGAAGCGGCACGAAGTACTAATGTCTAAAACCACTCTTTCTTTACGTTTTCGAGGTCGCTGAATACGAATTAGAAATTATTTTTTTGAAAGCACTGAAAAAATCAAGATCTAGCGAAAATTTAGGACATAGTACATTACGACACAAGTGCGCAAAAGTAGATTCTTGTCTCGTGTGGCTTCGCTCGGGCGCAAACGCCACACGAGACAAGAAACTTTTTCCCGAACATGTGCCATACCGTATTTTTTGATACGACGTGTGAAAAGTGCGATTTTCAACGCACGTTTTTTGCCGAACGTGCGGGAAAAACGCACTTTCTGCACGGAGTGTCGAAAAATGAATTTCATACTTTCCAAAGTACATTTCGCCATAACTTTGGCAGTTCACGGAATTAAAAAAAATTTTTTTTCTACATATAATACAATTAAATGCGGAACTAATAAACCTACTCCGATAACTTATCGACTATGATTAGTTGAGATATGAATTTTTTAATCCGCGCCATACTATGGACCACTTTTTTTTGGAGTGTGAACAAATTAAATATCTCGACTCAGAGTGAAGTCAAAAATATGACCCGGGAAGTAAATGAAACCGAGAATGATGTACCGAGAAAAATACTATAGAGACGATAGTTCTTTTATATGACCTCCAAATGACCTTCGAACCTTGATGCAACCAAATTTTTACAATTTTCTTCTACTTTTACCAGTCTTAACTGTTTCAAAATTAATTTCAAAGTATTGTATACAATTTGCTACTACAAATCCAGATCTGGCATAAAAAATTGTCTAACATTTTTCTAATGCTCAAAAAACGCCTACAAAGTCCGGCTTCTACTTACAGTTATTTCGATATTATTGACCGTGGAAATTTTAGAAAAATAAGGGATCATTTATTGAAATGCAACTTTTAATACTCGTGACAATTCAATTTTAGAAAAACTCTGTATAGAGTGCAATGAAATGCAGAAAATTTAGTTTCGCTTAATGAACACACTTCGATCTTTCTTAAATCTAATAAAAGAACTAAAAAAGTATAAGAGTATATAAAAGAAATTTACTCTATACATCTCTAAACATCTGCATTGATAACTCTAATTTAAGCTCTAAAAATCAAAAATCTTTTGTCGTCAAATAATTATCATCTACTCCATCTCTAATTGTTGTTCCTCTTCATGGTCTGAAACCAATGCCACGATGCTTCACTCATGGCATAGTATTGAGTATATGACAAGTTGATGAATTTACAATATTTTGCTTGTGACTTCTCCACATAATTATGTCACCAAATAAGAAAACTGTCATTCCACTCGCAGACGTTGAGTCAGAGTGATCTCTAAAACTGGCATCAGTGTACGAGGTGTGTTCAAAAAGTAAGGTGACGTTTCAAATTTCACGGGCAACGTACTTTCGATTATCGATTTTTTTGTTTTGTTATGTTGGTACACTTTTCCCGAACATCTGTACCAAGTTTCAAGTGTATAGCATTTTTTGTTTGGTTGTGGGAGGCGTAAAGGTTATAAGTGTTTTGCGTGCTCGGCGATTTCTTGCTATCGAAAAATATGGATCAAAGGATTTGCATCAAATTTTGTGTAAAAAATAAAATAAAGTGCTCCGAAACACTTGAAATGTTGACCGTGGCATACGGTGAAACTGTTCTGAGTAAAAAAAAATGTTAACAAATGGTACAAACTCTTCCAAGATGCCAATGACGAGCCTCGCTCTGGACGCCCAAGCACGTCAACAACTGATGAAAACGTTCAAGCAGCGAAGAAAATTGTTCTGGAAAATCGTCGAATCACTATCAGAGAAGTTGCTGAGGATGTTGGTATATCGCTTGGCTCGTGCCATGAAATTTTTTCTAACTTTTTGGGCATGAGACGTGTGTCAGCGAAGTTTGTTCCGAAATTGCTAAATTTTGACTAAAAGAACCGTCGCATGAGCATCGCTCAACAACTGTTGAATAACGTCAACGACGACCCAGATTTACTCAAAAAGGTCATAACTGGTGACGAATCATGGGTATATGGTTATAATATCGAAACCAAAGTCCAATCGTCCCAATGGAAGAGCTCAGATGAGCCAAGACCGAAAAAAGCATGCCAAGTTCGATCAAATGTCAAAGTTTTGCTCACTGTTTTCTTCGATTACCATGGCGTGGTGCATCAGGAGTTCTTACCATATGGACGTGCGGTCAATAAACAGTATTATCTTGAAGTTATGCGCCGTTTGCGAGAAGCAATTCGAAGAAAACGCCCAGAATTGTGGAAAAACAATTCATGGCTTTTGCATCACGATAATGCCCCTGCTCACTCATCTTTGCTTGTGAGAGATTTTTTGACCGAAAACAACACCACAATCATGTCTCAGCTACCATATTCACCGGATTTGGCCCCATGTAACTTTGGCCGACTTTGGCTCGCCCACGTATGTTGGGCGAGCGTCTTACAGACGAAGCAAAACCATAGGCCGTACTTCGCCATAGGAAGCTTTCTAAGATGGCAATCAACTAACATATGACCTGGCTCATTGCAGCGATGGCAGTGGTCTGGTCTAGGACCAGAGTCGCGGCTGATACCAGCTCCTGCCATTTATACCGAAGCACCTCTAGCTTTAGTTGTTACGCTGTTGCATTTATCAGCGTTTAATTGTAATATAAATTTACGCATTTCATCTAATGTCATGCTAGTGGCATTTATTTGTTTTGTTAGGATGTCCATCTCCGTGATTCTCGGATATGCATCTTTGACTGCTTTCTTTTCGGCGTCAGTCAAGGGAATAGATGTATCTATAAATTCATAATCTCTAATAATAGAATCGAATTACTCTAAGAAAGTACTAACCTTTTCATTTGAATTTCATTTGAGTTTATACAGCTCTTCTCTCACTGCGGAATCATCTTTATTTGCCTCTATTCTTCTTTGCTCTTTTAATTTACTAGAACTTCATCGCGCGCTACGTGCGTTGTAAATCGATATTTCAATTATACATTGTTATATAAAAATTTCATAATATTTCATTAATTGAGTATTCATGTAAATATTAAACAAATTGTAAGTAAGTAAGGCCATACAATATAATTAACAGTATTATAACGGGGTTTCTGCTCAGCTTCGCCTGGACAGGAACAGTTATATAATATCTAAATCGCGGGAAATAAATTAGGTTGCTCGCCAGGGCGGCACGGTGCTCCTGCACCGGGTGTCCTGGGTCCAGCAGCTCAGTTGCCTCCTTTTCGGTCAGAAAGCTTGGCCCGCGGAGAGTGTCGTAGGCTACGCGTGAAGATGCGCGACGGCCAAAGAGAGAGATTCGCGCGTGTACAGTCGCATACACAATTGCAATTCAAGGAACAGGGAGTCGGCGGACAATAAGCACTCGAATATAATTAAAAGTAGAGGCGTATAAATTTTAATTAGCAACAAAGGAATACATAGTATCGAAACGCGTCGATATAAACAATGTTAATCGCAACGCAACAACTCGCAATAGTTTGACGGTGAAGCGAACGGAACTGCACACGCGCTACGCGGTTAAGGTCGCGCAAGCACTCGCTCTGTTGTGAGCTGTGCACAATGGCGACAGCGAACCGGCGCGCACCGTTCGTGACGAGGAAGCGACAGCGCTTAACCTCGTCGAAGCAAGTAACAGCGAAATCGCCTCGCAGGAGCCGGGTGTTCGCGAACGGCAAACCGCACTTATTCGTTTCAGGTACGACGAATATATAGAAGCGACAGCACGTTCGCGGAGAGAGAGAAATTGCCGGTACCAACCAAGCGAGCGTAAACGCGCGGCTTAGTTAACGCAAAAAGGGAGAGAGCGGTATAGAGAGAGAAGCCAGGTACTAGAACTGGTACTTACAGTATAGCCGCTTGTACGCCTATTCTAACCCGCAAACCGAGGGCACACGATAGCGGGCTCGCTTCTGCTGCGTATTCGCTTCCGCTGATCGGCTGACTCGCAATAACGCCTCTCTTCTGGTGTATGCAGCGTACGTAGGCGCGTGTAAGGCTGGCTGTTCGCGGTAGGCCTCGGATCGCCAGAAGGAAGTCGAAAATACTCCTGACGACTCGCGCGAGGAACGTTAACCCGTCGATCGTCGAAAACGGACTATATCAATTTTCGAAACTCTCTCTCTCTCCTCGCAAGGAAGCGTCTCTCCGCGAGGTCCGCGCCGCGAGTCGACATCGATTATCGTACGCAAGTCGCGTCGCTTACCAGTTCGCTGACGTCCGTAATGCTGTAACTATTCAAACGATATGGTAATTTATAATGATTATTAAATATATTAGTTACTGGCTTCTTGGGGAGAGAGAGACATAACGAATATACAAACGATTCGTTATATCCCCCTTCCCCAGACGCTGGTTGCCAGTAGGTACCAGATCGAAACCTAGTCTCTCTCTCTGCATGCATATGAGTTTATTTACCTCTTAGGGAAAATTTAAGACGCGGGCCATCATATTGGGGCGGAATAAGCGAAACCACAAAAGGATAGGAAGGGTAAGGTAGTTAGAGTAACTCTCTCCTTTACAAAAATAGGCGTTTATTCGCAACAAATGTAGTATAAAGATAAAACAAATAAATACATTTTTTTTTTCTATCGATTAGGGGCACAGCCCTCGTTTAGCGTTACGCGCGCCGCGTAACAATCAAGTACATGAA